ATATAAGACATTTATGTAATCTTCAATAATACAATACAATACAATATTATATTTTTCATTCCTTTATTTCTAACAATACGTTTTTAGGATAAGAGAGTTTAAAGGTGTGAGAGATTAGTTGAAAGTGAGACGTTAAAGCCCTTTGTAGAATGATAAGTTTGTAAGTTAGGTAGTTAGTTACCAAATATTTTCAAATTTTCATATTAGAAATTTTCCTTTAATTTCCCTTCAAATTCCATTGTGTCATTTTTTGAATAAAAAATTTGAATCCTCTCCTAAATTTTAACTTGTGTATGAAGTCATACAATTCAACATTCATGTATTGGTAAAAGGAATGGTACTCAACACCTGATTCAATCTAATTAAAACTCTCATAACAAGAAAAGTTGACGCATCAAAATTTAATATAATATCTTAAAAATAAAATAAAACAAAATAAAAAACCTTGAACTTAGGTTTTAATTGGATTAGAACATCAACTGATTTATGATCTTGGTAATTTTCCATGTACAAGTCAACAAAGTTATGTTTTGCAAGGATTAGACCATCTGGTTTATGATCTTGCATGTACAAGTCAACAAAGCTATGTTTGGTAAGGCAATTGTCGGCTCAAATTTTATTTCCAAAATAAGAAGGTTTGTTATGCCAATATTTTTTATTTATATATTTTCGTTTTGTCCGTGATAAAAAAATTCATACATCCATTTTGTTTTTTTTGAAGATATGTTATGAGACCCTTGGTGTTTGTTTATTGCCAATTGCAGATTAGTAGGTAACGTAACATTTGTATTTGAAGAGAATTCAAACTAAATCATTAACAGCTAACTAATTACAAATTTTGATTTAGAGCAATTTGTGGGAAGTTTGATAAGAGAACACGTGATTTAACAATAAAATTAATGTAAGAGAAATGAAATCACCTCAACATTCGTTTACAATAAAATTAGGGCTCATGAAGTGTGCAACTTGTGAAAAATAACTTGTGAAGTTTCTGTAGTACCAAATTGATGCTATAAAAAAAATAAAAAATAAAAAAAATCCTAGAACATGGTTACCAAACGCGATTATTGCTGCTGATTCTAATCTTTTGAAAATCGCAACAGAAAAATTGAAAATTGTAGCGCTTCTGAACAAGTAGGTCCACTATCAGATTGCTTGATTTCATCATTTTTCCATCGTAGTACTACATTTATGCTCTGGTCAATACAAATCCCCATCTTCCATTCCTCTCTCACAAGAAAAAGGAAAATATCAAAAATTGTAAAAGAACAATAAGATATTAATTTGATTTTAATTTCTGGGGAAAAAAATATTTTGGATTTTACTATTTCCAATATTTACATTATTGATAATAGAAATGATGTCAAATTTAAATCACATCCTCAATCTTGGACCACTGCGTTCTGTTTTTTGTTTTTGTTTTTTCCATAAATAGTATTTGGAAAAAGAAAAAAAAAAACCCTGAAATGATGGAAATGCTCCCCTAAATGCTTTTTTTACATATCATATTCTTTTTCCTTTTTACGAGAAAAAAGGAAACACTTTTCAAAAACACTATCCCAAATAAACTTGATTATTTCACAACTATAATAAATATTATTAGGAGACTTTACAAATGCAAAAATACTAAGGTCACAAGCAAATGGCTCTTGACGAGAGCAGTAAAGGACCGTTTGGCATAGCTTTTACTTCTACTTATACATAAAAATTATATATTGATATGGGTTTTGACATAGGTAATAGGTTTTGAAATTTTGATTCTTGCAAACAGATGGATAAACTGAACTATATGGGTTTTGAACTTCTGATTCTTGTTGATTTTGTAGTTTGCGGCGGGCCCGGGGAGGGGGGTGGGGGGGTATGGGTTTTGAACTTTTGATTCTTGTTGATTTTGTAGTTTGCAGGCAATTGGGGAGGCTGAAATGATTTGCCCTAATAAGCAGGTTTGGTCGAATCTACAGGTCAGAAAGCAAGTTTGGTATTGGAGTTGCAAGAAGCAGGTCTGATACTAGAGTTGCAGGATTTAATTCTGATATGGTGATAATGGTATTCAGTGTTTGGAGTCTTCAAACTCACAGAGTACAATAATTTATCATCAATATTTTTTTTTTTTTTTTTTTTTTTTTTTACAATGGCTAAAATGATTTGCCCTAAAAATATTTTGTTTTTGTTTTCTATAGTACCAAATTGATGCTTTGAAAAAAAAAAAAAAATCCGAAAACATGTACCAAACGCGATTATTGCTGCTAATTCTAATCTTTTGAAAATGGCAACAGAAAAATTGAAAATTGTTGCGCTTCTGAACAAGTAGGTCTACTATCAGATTGCTTGATTTCATCATTTTTCCATCATAGTACTACATTTATGCTCTGGTCAATACAATTCCCCATCTTCCATTCCTTCCTCACAAGAAAAAGGAAAATATCAAAAATTGTAGAAGAACAATAAGATAATAATTTGATTTAAATTTTTAGGGAAAAAATATTTTGGATTTTAGTATTTCCAATATTTACATTATTGATAATGGAAATGATGTGAAATTTAAATCATGTCCTCAATCTTGGACCACTGCGTTCTGTTTTTTGTTTTTGTTTTTTCCAAAAATAGTATTTGGAAAAAAAAAAAAAAAAAATCCCGAAAATGATGGAAATGCTCCCTTAAATGTTTTTTTTCACATTTCATATTCTTTTTTCTTTTTATGAGGAAAAAGGAAACACTTTTTAAAAGCACTATCCCAAATAGACTTGGTTATTTCACAACTATAATAAATATTATTACGAGACTTTACAAATGCCAAAAAACTAAGGTCATAAGCAAATGGCTCTTGATGAGAGCTTTAAAGGCCCGTTTGGCATAGCTTTTGTTTCTGCTTATGCATAGAAATTATATGCCAATATGGGTTTTGATATAGGTAATAGGTTTTGAACTTTCGATTCTTGCAAACTGATAGATAAACTGAACTGTATGGGTTTTGAACTTCTGATTCTTGTAGATTTTGTAGTTTGTAGTTGGGGGGTGGGGGGTTGAGAATGAGAATAGAGATGGAGATGATTGGGGAGGTTGAAATGATTTGCCCTAATAAACAGGTTTGGTCAAATCTATCGGTCAAAAACAAGTTTGGTACCGGAGTTGCAAGAAGCAAGTCTGATACTGGAGTTGCAGGATTTAATTATGACATCGTGATAATGATTAGGGATGGCAACGGGGGCGGGTTTGGGCGGGTGTACCCTCACCCGCCCTTGCAACCATTTAAAAACCCCGCCCCCGTCCCTGCCCCCGCCCCAGCCCAAAACCACAAAAACGACGGAACTTTCCACCTCATTCCAGTAACCATTTAACATTTTTACCCCCGCAGGTACCCGCCCCGCACCGTTTAAGACCATAATTTAATTATTGATCAAATGGATTTGCTCTTCTTTTTTTTTTCATTTTCAATTATTTACCATTGCAACTTTCTTTTTAATAAAATTCATTTGTTATTTTAATATTATTATATAGGGTACTTAATATATAGTGGAAAATATATAAATTAATGAAATAAGATTACTTAAGTAATTTGTCTATCTAAATGGGGCAGGGCGACCTTCCCCCACCCCCGCATAGAGGTGTCAATTTTTACCGCCCAGTCGGGGCCCCGGCCCGTCTCGCCCCGTTAATAACGGATATGGAAACACCTTTTATACCGTTGGGGCGGGCATGGATACAAATTTTGTACTCGTTGCTGGTCACGGGGCGGGTAAGGGTTCAGTAAACATATCTGCAGGCCCTACCCCGCCCCGCCCCGCTAAGCATATAACTAGATTTAATATATATATATATGTGTGGTTAAATTTACTTTTGTTTTGGTTATTGTGGAAGTTGGAGCTTAGAATTTCTTGTAATTTGGTTATATTAAATCCTTAATTTTATTGATTATGTTTTCTGAATTATGTTATGTGCATGTTATTTTTATTTTTTATTTTTTATTTTTGTTGGGATTCATAATTTCATTTACGTTGTGTCATTCCTAGTCGTTCTATATTTAAATAGCAGCAGCTTAAGTCCCAAAAAGTGGGAGAAAAAAATTTGTTAGTGAGGCGAGCACGGGACACAATATTTTCCAATTGGGCGAGGCTGGACATGAAAATCCAACCCGTCGCGGGTCACGGGACGGGCATGGACTTGACAAAAATTAAATGGGGAGGGGCGGGATTTAGGGAAACCCGCTCCAAACCCGCCCTGTTGCCATCCCTACCCCCGCACCAAACCCTATTTGGCGGTTTTAATTGCATCAAACCATTCCCGCGGGTCAAATTAGCATCCCGAATAATGATATTCAGTGTTTGGAGTCTTGAAACTCACATAGTACAATAATTTATCATCAATTTTTTTTTTTTTGACAAAGGCTGAAATGATTTGCCCTAAAAATATTTTGGTTTTTTTTTGGTGACCCATCATCCATCGGCCTATAAATTTTGAGGCCCGACCGCCTTTGTCAGGTCAGGACGGGCCCGAGCCCTTTTTGTAACGGAAAAAGGTTTCTATAGTACCAAATTGATGCTTTGAAAAAAAATAAAAATAAAAAAATCCGAAAACATGTACCAAACACGATTATTACTGCTGATTCTAATCTTTTGAAAATGGCAACAGAAAAATTGAAAATTGTAACGCTTCTAAACAAGTAGGTCCACCATCAGATTGCTTGATTTCATCATTTTTCATCATAGTACTACATTTATGCTTTGCTCTATACAAATCCCAATCTTCCATTCCTCCCTCACAAGAAAAAGGAAAATATCAAAAATTGTACAAGAATAATAAGATAATAATTTGACTTTAATTTCTGGGGAAAAAAATATTTTGTATCTTACTATTTCCAATATTTACATTATTGATAATGGAAATGATGTGAAATTTAAATCATGTCCTCATTTTTGGACCACTGCATTCTGTTGCTTGTTTTTGTTTTTTTTTTCTAAAAATAGTGTTTGGAAAAAGAAAAAAGAAAAAAATCCCTTAAATGATGGAAATGCTCCCCCAAATGCTTTTTATACATATCATATTCTTTTTCTTTTTTCTTTTTTCTTTTTATGAGGAAAAAGGAAACACTTTTCAAAAACACTAATCCCAAATAGACTTGGTTATTTCACAACTATAATAAATATTATTACGAGACTTTACAAATGCCAAAAAACTAAGTTCACAGGCAAATGGCTCTTGATGAGAGCTCTAAGTCTTCTTCTTCTAACGCCCCATCAGCAGCCATGCCTTTTTCCTGCAAACCAAGGCCGAACACACAACACAAAAAATCAGGAGGCAATTGAAATTACACAACTCCCTTTGCCTAATTCAAAATCACAAATCCATCCCAGCCAAATTACAAACATAATCATTCTGAATAAAAAAGTTGAACCAATCTAAATCAAATATCAATGAAATTAAAACAGAATAATGGTATCAGTTCTTTTTAAAAAAAATAAAAGAAACATATAAACAATGGTTTTATACATGCTACATAGATTGTTTGTATCAGCTACTGTGTATGTTTCCACACGAATTCAATAACACCCTTAGTAACAACTACACAGTAAGGCCTTAATGATCTCCCTCTCAATGACAGGTCTATTGGTGCTCTATGGTATGAAGGTATGTCGGAACTTTCCTCAGGGAATTGGAACTACATCATATTTTTAACACCGGAACCTACCTACTTGGTTTGTCTAAAAAGATGCCACAATATTAACTTTCAGTCTATCACGGCCCCCTATGTAGGCTTTAAATAACCAAAATGATGATACGTTCATTGAGGTGCATCCCAACTTCATGAACTATAGAACAACTGACCACAAGCATGTCCTATAAGCATGCTCAAGTTAGGCTCAAGTGTTATTGATGAAATTCATTCTGATTCTCAAAGCCCCTTTCATTTCATTTTCTTCCTGTATAATTTTTTTTTTTTTTTTTTTTTTTTTTTAAGTATTCTCCCAAAATTTAAAGAAAATATTTAAGTTTGGATTATCACTTCAATTTCTACCAGGTCCTAGAAAAGATGGTGAAAAGTGAAAACGAAAAACAAAATAAAATGCCTCAAATTGGAAAAAAAGATTGAATGAGAAAGTCTTGACAAAATAAGGAATAAGAGAACATACAATGGGATCTTTAAAATTTCTTATGTGGAAAGGCGGGTCAGATATATCATCACCACTGAGAATTTTTGCTCCGCATCCTGCTGTGTCCACCGTTCCTACAGCCTCTTCATCAACCAAAACTGCATCTATGGTATTTTGTCCTGTTTTGGCATCAGGAATCTGTGCACAGTGCAAATGAAGTTATGATGGTCCACAAGGGAAGTATCTAAGGACTAAAGATGATAGGGTTCAGTTCCTGTCAATCAGCAATTGCCAGCTTGTCACCAATCTCTGCTTGTCACAAGAAAGTGAAGAGGGGCACCATCATTGCTTCACCAGACATATGATGAAAGTTCTATGCTAGCTACCAGTTACCTAACACAAATTCTAATTGCTCATGCCTAGGTCTGGCAGTTATAACCCTCCTTTTCCCCTCACATGTTTCACCATACACCCAAGGAAAAATATTAAGGTCAGAACGTGATGAAGATGAACACGCCTGCAGGGAAAATTTGAACTCAAGGAAGTGGATTGCCACAAACATCAGTACCCGAGAACAAACTAGAATTTTCACAACATGAGGGGTGTTAGGTGGATCAACTGTGAGTTTATGAATATAATGCCCCTCCATACTGTTATGTAGGTTCAATGTGACTGGCAACATCCTGGTAATTGTGATTGCAGACGAGCTTACTGAAATGAGAAGGCAGACTTGTACTTCCATTATAATAATTTGCCAGAAATTGGATCCAACAGTATACCTCAAACATGGCTTCTGTAAGTATATTTTCTAATATGGTTCTTAAACCTCGGGCACCAGTGTTCTTTGACATTGCTTTCTTTGCAATTAACCTCAGTGCAATATCCGTGAAATGTAAATTGACCTGCCACATTATAGAACATTTTACCACAAAGAGGTCCACCTCATCTGCATGGAATGTTAGAGACTTTCTACAAAAGGAAAATAAGAGTACAGTATTTCCTGACCGGGACATACAGTAAATCAAAAGCTTACATTGTTCATGCTGAACATTTTCTTGTACTGTTTACCAAGAGCATTTTTGGGCTCCGTGAGGACCTAATAATACCAAAAAATTTGTTAACCTTTTTGTGACCGAGTAAAACAGAAATCTGTAAAATTAGAAAATTTTCTTTTCCAATTACGACTCTACTACTATTGCTCAGTGATGCGTAAGCATCACAGGAATTAATATACTTATATGAAGATCAGTTCAAGAAGGCAGTATTACTTGTAGGATCCACTCATTGGATGACTAAAAAACTTAATATTCATAAATAAATGTAGCAAAATGTGAAGGTTGAGATGCATGTGCAGCAATAAAATGGATATAATAAGAAATGAAACAGAATGTTGGTTGGCTAAAAAACAACATATTCATAAAGTGGACTTAATCCAATGCAAATGTTGATATGGACCCTCGGCAATTGGCAAGACAAGAATGGATATAATAAATAAAAAATAAAACTAACACATTCATGAGACAATCGAAGTAACACTTGCTCAAAACGGAATGAGAGAACTAGATTAATAAGTTTAGGCCACACTTGGGGAAAAACAAACAGATGCACCAGCGAGAAAGACTACAGTAATGTGATCCATATTGAAGGTCAAGGGAAGGAGAAGACAGAACAACTAACAGGATTGAGATAGTAAGAAAAGATATAATAGAATGAACTATACAATTTTAATTATATCGAATGTAATGACAAAAACATATTCATGTAACGAACTCCAAATAGTTGGGAAAATACTTTATTGAATTGACTAGTATCAAGCCAACAAGGCAACGCACTCATGTCCAGAATAATCATCAATTTTCTTCTAAAACTGCAGGTGCAGGACAAGAACTGCCACCCATCACTATACAGCAAAACAAGCCCCCCCGTGTTTACCGACACACCATCAGGAGGAACAAAAACAATATATATTTATATATATAAGTAGAGGAAAAAAGGCACTCAAATAAATATGATAAATATATGAACACACCTGAACAAGTTGATCCTCGTTTAGAGCAGAAAGACTCACTAAAATAGGAAATCTTCCTACAAATTCAGGTATGAGGCCATATGCAATAAGATCACCACTTTCTACCTGAAATACCAAAAGCAACTTTCAGGCAACCTTTTCAGGGAATTTGGAATCTAAAACCTTATATTAGAAAAAAACTGAATATAGAATAATGAGCAAAATCTGCATATAGCCATGATACGTTTAAGTTCTCACAGATTCCAATAACGATGACGTCACTACAGCATTAGTTAGTCTGCCAAGTCTCATATTTGCACGAACTGGTGCTCCGAAACCGATAGAAGAATCCTGTCGTCTGTGACAAAGTAATGAAGAGTTCGAACTTTTCAATCCCATAGCCAAAGAAGTTATCTTTAGTAAATCATTTCTGAAATCAAACAACATTAAAGAATAATTAAATTACCTTTCTGAGATGGTCTTTTCCAAATCAACAAAAGCTCCACCACATATAAAAAGGATATTTTTTGTATCTATCTGACAATCATCTCATCAAAATAAGAAGATGAATAAAAGAATAACGATCCTATATGAAAATAGTGATGAAAGGTACAAGCAATAGGGAACACTTGTTCTTCCATGCTTTATGTTAGGTACAAACAACCATCTCGTGTTTCTTGGTAGAACTAAAAGATTATTATTTTCAGAGGCAGTGGAGAAAATCCACCCCTGGGTGTGCCTCAAAGAGAAGCATTAGAGAAAATGGTTCAGTGTATGCTTTGATCAAGCATTAAGAGAGTATTTATCAAAAGGAAAAAATATATATATATATATTAAAAATACTAGTTCACAGAAGTCAAATCTATGAAATATTCTCTCTTTAAGAATGATAAAATGCAGTCTAGTGTCAGCAGTAATGTTAAACTATTCCAAGAAAGACATTAAGATAAGAATGCTCCATTGTTCAATGTTGAAATAAATGTTGAAAAGAGAGTTCGAATTCAGCTTACTCATCAGCATTTTGAAATAAATGAATTTCCAGCTTATTTCGTCTCATTTTGACGATGCAAATAAATGAGTCCAACATCTATAAATAATCCAATTTTAGAGCTCTGTTAAGTATAATATATCTCAACTTCCATAAAATCTCTATTCTTTGTGCTCACTTTTCTATTTCCAATTTCCTTTTACACTCATGTTCTTCTAAAAGTCAATTGCCATAGCACTTCCAGTTTTTTATATCCATTAATATTCCTCAGTAATTTATCAAAAACGTGTAACGGGTATGGCGACTCGAACCAACCTCTTGTTTGACTCATTGATTTTAATTCTAAAAGAAATGAACATCTAGTGTTTCCTGTTCTAGTGCAGGTCGTTTTGAGAAAATAACGGTGATTACTCTAAGAGAAACTCCAGACTCAGAAGGTTTATGCCTCATTACCAGGTGCTGATACCTCTTGCATTAGGGAAGTGGAGTGCTTGAATTTATAAAAAGACCAATACAGCATATCAACTTTTGTTGGGAAATTTGGCCAGTAAAAGGCACAAATTTGGGAGAATTCACAGCAGTAGGAGCACAAAGTTCAGAACTCTCAATCTTTCTAAATTTAAGTGAAACTGAAATTTTGTTCTTCAAAATGCCAATATTTGGTAAAATTCCATAGCCTTCTGCTGATGATTTAACATATGAGCGTTTTTCTACTATTAGATAGTTTTTACTCATTTTGGTTTAATTCAACAATTAGTTTTTTGCATGGTTATTCAAGGCTCCATTGATCTCAAAACGTATTCGACTGTCAAGTCTGAGTCAAAATTTTGACCATGTCTATTCTTAATATTTCTCTTTTTTGAGGAAAAAATAGAGAGAAACATTTTAGGAAAAACATCCATTGACATTTCTGAAAAGAAGAGACAAATTAGGTAACAGTCATCACTCATCAGTTATTCTGGAAGGGATAACTCGGGTGGGAAATAGAAGGGATACTGTTCCAAACTTGTTTTAAGACACCCACTACCCTGGTAAAACACTTAATGCCAAAAGTCATAATAATGAAAGACTAACTTCACTTATGGTTGAGGCTAGATAGGGAAAGGACAGGAAGATGGAACACTAACTACAATCTCTTTTTTCCATTTATGGCCGTCTGTTTGTTCTATTTAGTCCCTTCAAACATCCCTACCTAGTTAGTTCACAATTTCACAAGAATTGTCTACAAAAGCAAAATCCATAACAAAAAATCTACAAGAATGGCATATACAGTGAACATTTATACTAGTGATCGCAAGAATCTGTACAACCATTTGACCTAACTGTTACATGACCTTAATATTTTTACAAATTATACAAATAGAAAAGAGGCGAAATCATTAATAATTCCAATGAGTTAATGAGGAAGAACAACTGTAACAACAGAATTTGAGTATCAATTTGAGGCAATGCATAGAATTCAATGACCAACACAAGCGTAGAATGATACTTATCAGTGACGATATATAAATAAAAAATAAAATTATACTTATTACATAAATACAAGAAACAATCACTTGGAAGGCAAAGAGTGAAAAGAAAAAAGACAGAAATAGTGTATAAGGCTCAGGATACCTGAATGCTATCACCACGAGGATGCCTTCGAGCTCTATTATCAGGAACATTAACTATCTGAACAAGAAAATAAACAAAATAAATAACCAACAGATGATGATGTTTAAAGCATCAAATTTGACATTATCAGATCTATAGACGAATAAGTACGGAAACAATTAAACCACTGGACCACTGTCCCAAGTGAGTATAACCCCTCCTCCCCAAAGGCAGGTGAGGGTTCGAGTATTCAAACATTAACCAGTATGAAAACAATTAAACATAAAAATAAAGCTGAACCACTGGAAGCAGCATAACACCTCAGATGCATGGCTGGAAAGACTTGATCAAAATTAAACAGAAAAGGCTATAAAGCTAATGCACTCACGGTTCCTTCCAACATTTTCAGCAATGCCTGTTGAACACCCTCTCCAGATACATCTCTGCCGATATTTAAGCTCTCAGCCTGAACAAAAATTTCAAAGAGAATAAAAATAAATCAGACATAGAAATATTACATTGCTCAATCCATAACCTAAGAACAACCTTCTTAGTTATCTTATCAACTTCATCGATGTACACAATCCCTTGCTGAGCTGCTTCCACATTAAACTCAGCAACCTAAAGGCCAACAAAAACAATCAAAATTCATACATACATACATACATATATATATATATATATATATATAGGTGGAGAATGCAGGCAGAAAGAAGTGGCACAAAACGCTAAACCATTATTACACATGGAAAAAACTAATTTTTTTAACAAATAATGAGAAGACAGATAACTGCATGCATGAAATAGAGCTCCTAGCTGACAAGATGTAAGATAAAGTTGGACAGAAGGCTCATAAGCACAACTGCACAAGGGCAATAGCATTATGCAAAGACATTAAACTATTTACATTAGAATATCAGTGAATTGAATTTATATAAAATCAATCAAGAGGACCTGAACTCACAATCAAATTCCCAAGACGCCATAAATTGATAGAAAAGATAAAGGCTGCTACTCCCTCCATCCGATACTAGATGCCATGCTTTTAGGATGTCCCAAAATAAGCGTCCACTTTCCTTTTGAGATGTTAATTTTCCCAAATTGTCCATAGCTTTTGAAAAAAAATCTCAAATCAATACGGCAAATGTCCAGATTTTGTCGGGTTAGTTAACTTCAGGATTGGGCACAGTATGAAAGAACTTTTAGATGCACATATTCCCCTGGGGGACGATTGGTACATGGACCTAAGGGTCTTTATGACACAATCAATAATTTGATTCGTTTTCAATTAGGCCTTGCTCTAGCTTCTTTAGGGGTCGATATAGTCCGTGGTGTCAAGCCCCCATGCATGCACCTCATCGGATGTTGCCCTTGGAACTGGTAAAACATGAGAAGCAGATGACATAGTTTTCAAAGTAGGAGTCCCAAAAGGACTTATTATGGAACGGAGGGAGTATTAAAATTACTTATGGACATATTAAGCAAAATGTTTCATAAACATGATTAAACAAATATGTTCTTTCAACATTCATATGCTTGCCATTCATTTAAAATGTGAAAATTCGTAAATAATATTTTGACATTTATGTATAAACAATATAACATATTTTATAGGTCAACCCATTCCGAAATCCGCCTTCCATATCAAGTAGTGTCTGGCGGGTGCGGACCAGAGACAACACGACAACGAAATATTAGTATTATCGCTGTAGTACCTATTATATGAGGTCAGTAACATGAACCTATAAGATTCCTCAAACCACCAATTGCAAAAAACTTGGGATTTGTGACAAAAAATAGTCAGGAGAAGTTATATGCAGGAAACAGACTGGATGTATATGCACCCCTATTAAATTTGGGGTGGGCCCAATTGAATGTAAAAGCTCAACTAATGGGTGTGTGTATCGGCATATGCATATGCATATTCACACATCATCATCAACAACAACAACAACAAGAAAAAAGGAGTATATGCGACACAATATACATCTACACGTCAATTAGGCATCTCACTCTTCCATACATCAACTTATAAATCTAAGAGGTGGCTATTAGACATAAAGAAGCATGGGAGAGCAAGAACAGGGAAAAAAAAACATAAAACAGGAGCCATAAGAAACAAAACATCACAAGCCATCTCAGAAGCAACAAATTAAAATATTGAATTATAAAAGCTCTTGAGGATGTAAATTGAGATACAATGACCTAAAGGCCAAGCCCGAACAAGATACTTCTTTCATGTATTTATCCACACTTCAACAGATCAAGATATTTTCGACACATATGTTCTTCGGGTGAACTAACTTGGATCCCCTAGGGGGTATCTGAAATCCAAATTATAAGAAATCCTCAGTCTTATTTAGTGCCTATTTCCTATATTGGTAATGATAAAAGATTTGTATAGTAGAAAGGAACTGAATTGAAAATATAGATCTTTGCAATGGGGAAACGGGTCCACACCCTTCACAGTCACAAGTCAGCCTTTTAGGTTTGAAGAAATTGTAGCTAAGCATTCAGGCATCGGCAGTTCTGCATTTCATTGGCTTATTCTTATTTTACTGGTTAGTAAAAAGATTATTTCTTTCACATGATACATTCACACAACCAAACTCCATAGATATTAATCATATCTCTTTCACATTGATATATTAACATACCAAACTTCATATAGATTCAAATCTATCAAGATTACTCTGCACATTTGTATATCAGACACATGGAATGAAAATGACCATACCGTAAGTAGTTTGGACAATATGGATTCCACATCTTCTCCAACATAACCTGCCTGAGAGAGAGCGGATAGAGAGTCAGTGCCATTCATCCAAGCTAGAGAAAATGTTTATCAACTCTACATCGGAAGATATTCAAGACAATATGCAGTAATAGTGTATTATGGCAATTGAAAGAAGCCAAAATCATATTTGCATGCATAAAAAACAGTAGTCCAGAGAGACTTGTACAAGGATCCTGCCATTTATAATGAAAATAGAGTAAGGGTATCCCTTAGTATCAAATGGAACTTCTACAAATTGACAGCAACTAGAAGAGTAACTAAGAATGCCCCTAGAAGGATTTATTTTTTTTTTTTTTTTTTTTTAATGTCTTTGGTAAATCATGGCAATCAATGAAATCATTTATGCTTAAACTTATAAAGAACGAAAAGAATATTTTTGCAAACAACTAAGAAAGGAAGGGTGAAAAAGAAAGAGAGAGAAATTGTGAAAAAAAGAGCATACTCTAAGATACAAAAAGGAAATCAATCATAAACAGTATCACTTTTCTACAAGCTTAACACTTTGCAACCAACAAACTTGAAGAAGTAACAGTTTTATAAACTGAAGCAGTGTTGACCCTTTTAACCACTACAATGGTGTCACACCGATTGCTTCATTCCAAGGTTCCTGTCCTTCAGCTGCCTAAATAAAGCAAATAGATATTCCTAGGGAATTTATGAGTCTGAACCATGGTGTTTAAACTCCTACCAGTAGGAACTAAACCAAACTATGGAAATGATATATGTGGAACCAGAACAAACTGCTAGCGTAGATGGATGTTTAAACTATTTTGTGCTCCATTGTTTCTCCATCATCCTAAAATAGCACAAATCTTTTGACTAGTAACCTTTGCATCAGTCATAATAGTTCCTTTCCTAAATCATAATAATTTCCATAAGAACCAATTATACTCTTCACACTTCAAGAATCTAACTGAACTCCAATGGCCTCAAGTTAAACAACAAATTTACATCCAAACTTTGTTTAGCAAGAAGCTATGGAGATTTCCCAATGCATCTTCATTGTTTTAGCTCGAACACCTCCCTCCATTGAGAAGATGACACCTACATAGGTCCACCATCCCTTCGCAAAGAATTCCTTTCCATTATCTAGGTCATAACTTCCAAATTATAGCAAAGATGGAAAGTATCTTAGTAAGTTAAGAAACGATTATTAGAGCAGTTATTTAACTTCTTCCTGATGGAGATCAGGGCATTACTCGTACACACAAGTTGCACATGACTCTCACCTATGCTTGGACAATGGGCAAGGACAGATAGGTCTTAGAGTTCTATATATTTTAGGAATTATAACAAATATGAGTAGTTTTCGATATTTCCTTTTAATTAGTATTAGGTTCTGTTTGCTTATAAATAAGGTATGTGGTCTTGCAGCTTTGTTGGAAATGAGCAAAACTACTTTCCAATTTTAAGCATAGACATGGCTACATGTCTCACTAGGTTCATGGCAACAATTTTTTTTGACTTTTTATGTTGGCGGCAGCTATTTTAGACTTTAGGGTCATTGTATTGCCTATATATACATAGGCATATGTATTAAGTTGATGACCTTTTGATGGTTGAATAATATTGAGTATTGAATTGCAGAGTGCTTCTCTCCTCTCTTCTTTCCTCTCTCTTGGTTTACATCATTCACACCATCCATTCTACATCACTTCCAAGACTCCAAAACTAAATAATCCTTTCAAACAGCCCAACCCCGTGACTTAATTAACTGCCACTATGGGCGATTTCACCCCACTAGGGGCGATTTTAAGGCGATAGTGACTTTGTCCTTTTGTTTTAGTTTGCGATGAAATCTTATTTAGAAACTGCAAGGATTCCAAGAATTTCACTGAGAGGGGATGTGAAGTCGGCAGTTCCACATTGAGGGCCGTCTTTGTACATCGACGGGGAGTCCGTCGGAGGGAGGAAATCAGTTCTCTCATCTTGCTTGGTTGGTCGTTTTGATAAGGAAGTTGGGGGATGTGATCGGGTGGAGGAATGGGTGGCGAGAGCATGGAACACGTCCTATGGAGTGCGGGTTACTCCCTTATCTGATTCGTTGCTCCTATTTAGGTTTCCTTCCCAGGCCAAAGTTCAACGTGTGTTGAAGGAAGGCCGGCGTCAATGGGGATCTGCAACCTTGCGGATCGATGTGTGGTCTTTTAGGGTTGGTTGTTGCGGCGTTCTTAGAGACAAAGGTCTCAAACAAATCCGGATGTTTGGACTTCCCCTTCATCTATGGTGTCATGCTTTATTTGTTGAAGTAGGGGAGTTGTGCGGCGGATTTGTGGGAGCTGTTGCTGATGAAACAAGGGACGCCGAAAGCGTTCGGATTTCAGTGAGAATAGGATCGACCTGTCCGCAATTTGTGTTTATTAATGATGGCACTTTCTGTTACAAGGTGACGATCTGGGAAGAAATTGCGCCAGCGTTGGTTCCCTCGACAGAGAGTATTGAAGGCAGCAACGGCTCTCCTCATATGACGGAAGAAGGATGGGTGCGAGGAAGATCAAGTAAACGACACGTGCCGGTCACGCGCGTTACAGCTGACAAGGATACATTTACACGTGGCGCTCGTAGAGGCTCACTTCCAGATTCGTCCCTATCCTTATCTACAAGGGTTGGTGAGGAGGTTGGGCTGGGCCGCACAGATTGGCCTAAAGTTGATTTGGGCCGGAGGGGTTATGGGCAAACTAAAGTGTTAAGTCATTTTGGGTCTGGGAGGAATGGGCTCAAGTCAAGCCCAATTTTGGGCCTAAGCCAGCCTACACTAAAAGACGGGTTTTAGAAGGAACCAACTCATTTTCTTTTTTCTTTCTTAACGAACCAGATTCGAGACAAGCCCAGGTTCAAATTCAAGCCCAAAATCAAACTCTCTCCTCTTCTTCATTTCAGCGTTGGACTAAGAAAGAAAAGTGGAGACGGCCGGTTGCTTCAGCTAGTCGCCAGGGTACTCGATAGACTCGCACTAAAAAACAGAAATGGGTAGCACGCTCTCCTTCTCCTTCTCCAGGTTCAACCTCTGTTTCTCATTCTAAGAACTCATCTTCTACCCTTTCTTCGTGTGAGGTGATGGGAAATGGTGAAGGTGGTGTGGAGGATCATTTGGATCAAAAGAAGGGTTTTTCTAAAGCCATTGTTCCACGGGATACAGAGTCATTGTCTTCAATGACCAAGTCCAGAAGTATTGGTTGTTCCAACGGGGTGACAGTTTGTGTTGGACGGGACCTTCATTTTAAGTTGACAGATGATTTAGCCTTTACTTTACTTAACGAACTTAAGCTCTATGTTGCTCTAAAAGGCTTAAATGGTCTACCCTCCGTGACTGGGACGAACTACACCCATGATTTGATGACAAATTTTACGGATGACCCTGGAACATAGTTGAATCTGCAATTAAACTTGTATCAGAACAATGTTGAAAGCAAAGGGGAGGACTTTGAAGATCAGCTTTCTTCTCAACAAATCTGTCCTTTTGCCTGGGATATTGATCAATCTGATGTGGACATTATGGAACCCTTAGCAACTGTGCACCCTGATTGCTTAGAGACGATTAACGATTTGGGTATGGACTGGGTGTTGGAAAATATTGGTGAGGTCAGTGAAGCTTTGGGTGTCTCCTCGGAAGGAGATGATGATCGAACACAAACCATTCTTCATGATATTGTGGCAGGAAACAATAATACATAGACCTTTAAAAGCACAAAAGTTGTTAAAAATAGGAAACATGCACATCGGAAAGGAGATCAGGAGGTTAAGAACCTTATTTCCAATGTCAATTACGAAGGGAAGGATGGGGTGAATAGAGAAAGGGGAAGGACTAGAAGTGGGAAGCAGGGAGGAGGGGCACTGATTATTTTTGGTTCTCAATAAAGATACGAATTATCACATGGAACGTCCGTGGGTTAAATGATCCGGACAAAAGAAAGGTGGTTAAAGTTGCTTTAAGGAAGTGGAATGCCCATGTTATTTGTTTGCAAGAAACCAAGTTGGTTTCTATTTCTGATGATGTGATTAGAAGCCTTTGGGGAAGTAAGTTCGTGGATTGAGAAGCCTTGAACGCCTCTGGTACATCAGGCGTCATTCTTATTATGTGGGATCATAGATGGATGTCCAAAACGAATTTCTAGAAAGGGCTATTTTCTTTGTCATGCGTGTTTCAGATGGATGATGATAACTTCAGTTCGTTTATGGACCCGTTATTGATTGTGATAGACCTGTTTTTTGGCAAGAACTTAGCTACATTAAGGAATTGTGGTCGTTGCCTTAGTGCTTAGGTGGGGATTTCAATTCTGTTCGGTCTCCATTTGAGAGATCCACAGGGGGGAGGTGGTCTTCGGAGATGACCCAGTTCTCTGACTTTATTGATGGTCACTTTCTTATTGATTTGCCATTGGAAGGGGCAACTTTCACTTGGTCTAGCGGCAGAGACCCAGTTACTCTATCAAGGCGTGATAGATTCCTGATTTTTGGAGATTGGGAGGAAAAGTTCCCGGATGTCACTCAGGCAGCTTTGGTTAGAGTCACGTCTGATCATGTGCCCTTAGTTCTTGATTGTGGAGGTATGAGATCTAGACGTACATCATTTCGTTTCGAAAATATGTGGTTGAGAGCTAAGGACTTCCAAGGGAAGGTCCAGTCCTGGTGGGGGGAAGCAATGTTTACTGGCTCTACAAGCTATGTGCTTGCTAAGAAGTTTCAGATTCTCAAATCTGAGCTTAAGAAGTGGAACAAAGAGGTGTTTGGGAATCTTGAATGGAAGAAAAATAAAGTCCTGGCTGACATTGCTAAACTTGATCGTCTTGATGAGATAGGGCAAGAAACAGAATCTCTACGCTCTAGAAGAGTGTCATGTCAGGCGACTTTTGCTGAGATTGCTACTTTGGAGGAGATTTCGTGGCGTCAAAAATCTCGGGCTGACCGCAATACTAAATTCTTTCACAGGCTTGCTAATGCTCATAGAAGATACAATAACATTGGGCGTATTCATGTGAATGGTTCA